CCAAAAAAATTAAAATTGATTCAAATTTCTCAATTAAAAAAAATAAACAAAACAACTTTTTTGTCGTATTTTTAATATATACACAACTACTTTAATATAATAATTATAATAGAAAATTATTAGTAAACGATTTTATTATTTTTTATAAATACAACAACACAATTGATAATAGTTTTAAGAAAATTGGTTTTTTAAACTGATTGTGTTTAGTATCGATTATATTTTTCTTCTACTATCAATAATTATTTAAATAATATATTTATTTCAATAAATGGTAATATAATGTTGTTGTATATAAAAATAAAAATAATTATAGAAAAACAGAAACATACTTGACAAAAAAAACAAGAAGAATTAAAAAGAGTCGAATAATAAGAGATGGATTACAATAGAATTTAAAGTTCAAATAAAAACACTACTAACCAACATAATAATCCAAGACAAATTGTTGCAAATTATCTTATTTTTTTCTTGTGTTTTTATCGTTATTTCCTGAAAGTACACGTAATTGTGTTCCATTCATAGTAATATATTAAAAACAAAAGACTTGTTTTCCATGTTAATAAATAAAAATAAAATACATAAACTAATTATTTTGTGAACTACAAACACAGATAAGTGTTTACTACGTTGCTCTTGACATCAACAGAGAAATGCAGAAGGCTTCCCCATCATCAGAATTTAAGAAATCACATTAACTATCAAATGGTGAAGTCATCACCGTTGGAAACGAGAGATTCAGATGTCCAGAAGCACTTTTTCAGCCATCATTTATTGGCATGGAAGCATCAGGTATCCACGAGACAACTTAAAACTCAATCACAAGGTGCAATGTCGATATCAGAAACAAGTTATATTAAGCATCGTCTCCTATGATTGAATTTAATGTACCCAGGCATTAACGACAGACATGAGAAGGAGAAAGTTGCAGATGAGAAATGAAATGGCATAATCAAGGCTGTTCATGCTTGGTTCAATTTAATTATATTTGTGTAGGTGTTCATTTGGTTTAGTTTTAATAATTATTGTTATAATCAATCATAATATATAATAAATTTACTATCATTTTTATAATTCACAAGTTGATTAATTATAGTTTGATTTTTAATTTAAATTACTATACAATTATTATTCTTTTGTCACGCATTGTATAATGTATCCAAAACTGCCATTTTTCTCGACTTAAATTGATGTTTTATAGCGTTGTTTTACCATATAAGATAATTATTTATTGTTATTATTGTGTTAGATGAATAACACACAAAATTAATAGTAAGTAGTGGGTTTTTATCGTAATATTTTGATGTTATTTGGTTCTCTTAGTATTTTTAGTTTGAGTGGAATCCATTATTTATTTCAACAACAATATTTTTGTCATGTTCTTATTTTATTTTGGTTTGAACCAATCTTATTGGTTATATTGAACCCAAATTGTTGCACTTGTTTTAAGTGTTTTTTATTTTGTTTTTGAAAAACTTGAATATCTGATAGTATTCTTTAATCGATTTTGTTAACAATTTTATTTGTTTATGAAAACAGTTTATTTTCTTATTATTTATATTACTAATATTAATTTGTTAAATTGTATATTTTATTGATTGAAGGACAAATCTTTAACAAAACCCAATTAATTTGAGTTTATGAATGATAAAATGTTTTATAAATAATTCAAAAGGTTGAATTTGAGTTGAACTATTTTATCAAATATGTCAAAAATCATTCTAAATTGTTCATGAAAAGTCGCCATTATTTTCATTTTTTTGGAAAAGTGAAATTATTTTTTGAAATTTTTTTCTGAAAAAAAAAGAAAAAAAATAAAAATTTTTCAGTCCTCGAAGGGTTAAATATTTTAAAATTCTTATATTAAAACTAAACTTTTTTTAAAAAGTCGGTATTTTTTTAAGAGTTATTTATTGTTTAACCTTTCCAATATCAGAAATATGATTCTTATAACACGCATGTATATGAATATAAACTCAAATTCTTAAACTAAAAGTTATCTAAAATAAAACATTATTTTAATAATGATGATAGTGTTCCCAATTGTCCAGCATCTCCATTTATGATTTTACAATTTATCATTCTCAAAATAAAGCCTCGGAAGTCACCAACTGTTCAGCTTTTATTTCTTTTTCTTTAACCAACTCTGCTGTCTCAAAATTTAATTCAATGTTTTTTTTATTTTTTAAGAAAGGTTGTCGTTAATTTTTCGGTATCCAAAGTTTCACAACATTGATGTCTTGTATATTACCAACAATAAGCACTTCGACCATTTTGCGTCTCACTTTTGTGATAGAGTCGGTTGAATTATTTTTAAGAATGGCCCTGACAAGCTTTTGAAAAGGAGTAGTGCTGCTCTTTTTGCATTAATGATTAACAGGGTAAATACTTTCACCTTTAATCAATTCGTTAACAAGAAATTAACAATTGTTTATGGGTATACCAAGATCACGTGAGAACTGAATTAAGTCAATAGTTGTTGCTGTTTTAAATGCCTTGACTAATTCATGTTTCGTCTTTAAAGTTACGGTTCTGTATGCTTTTTTCTTGTTGTCATCTTTTTTTTCAACTGTTTTCGGTGTCTTCCTTTTCTCTTCTTTGTGTTGTTAGGTGGGAATAGTTGTTTAGTCTTTAAAGGAACACCTTGTTGTTTTGGGAGCATTTTCAATGTAATCTGCACGACATTTGGGGTCAGTAGCATCAATGTATTTTAAAGAAGAGTGGTTCATGTGTTATTTCAAGTTACGATAATTGAAACGTGGAATATAACAATTATATATATAATAATTTACTATAATTGATTTGGTGACGAAATAATTAAAAAAGAGAAGTGAATTAATTATAAATGCAAAATGTATTAATTAATGGTACGACATATTTATTTTCGTACCGTTTCATTTGTTTGTAAAACTTGAATTGTTTTGTTTCTGGTCTTTTTTTCTCTTTTTCCGTTTGTATTATTGAAATGTTTATACAATTTATTATAATTTCCGAATTAATAAAAATTATGAAAACAGTTTTATTAAAATGAATAAAAAATTATTTGAAATGCCGGGTAAAAAATCTAAAGTGAATACTACCGTAATAGTTTTTCAAGAGTAATTTAAGTGATTATTATAAAAGAGTAGAGATGATAATTAGAATTGTGTTTATAAAAGTGTTTTTTATCTTTAATAAAAAAAACGTCGTTTATAATATCAATATAATCATTTTGTTGGGTTCAAATTGTTCCTTGTTTTCTTGCAATAAACAATAAAGCTCTTCAATTTTTATTTGTGTTGTCAAATGGGTTCAATTCTTTTTATCATCATATTCCATGTGGTGTTCAACACATTGACAACCTATTGCATTTGTTTGTATTACCGTCGTAACTTTCTATACATTCTACAGTCCCTAATATTTCCATTAGGTACACAACTCTATGTGCTATATTTAAAGACGCCAGATATTGGCCATACTCGAGAGTTTTTGTCATTCATTGATGTGTGTTGGTTGCGAATGGGTTGGGCAAAAAGTCCGATGGTGATCACATCAGTAGTCAGTGGTTCTGGGACTCTTGATTCTGCTTCAATCAAAAGTACTTTATTTGAAGCGATGAGTCGGCACCCTCGTCTGATGCGTCGTGTCTCGACATTCAACACATTCTACATATTAGAAGATTGTAAAGTGGATATGGACGACCACATCATAATTGAGCAAGATCGGCTCTCTCAACACAAATTTTTGACAATATTAAACACTTTGAAGTCACAAAACTTGGACTTTTCAAAACCCCTTTGGAAATTTCACATCTTCACAAATGTTGCTGGAAAGTGGAAATTTGTTGCGCAGATATCCCATTGTCATGTCGATGGTGCGTCTGCAGTGAGGTTGTTATCTGATATCACCAACTACACAAATTGTGAGCAAAAGAGTCTTGTGACACCACCACTTCAGACAAGACCAACTTCAAATGGTAACAAACACCAATTTTCCTTTTCGCGAAGTCTAAAAATGTTGTTTGCAGTTTCATATCATTTCATTCGAGCTATTGTGTGTGCCAGAGATTGCACACAACGTTTGAGGAAAATTGTTGTTGGCCGACAGAAGTGTTATTGGGGACAATTGGGAACCATTTCTGACATCAAAAGTATTGCGACGAAGTGCAATGGAAGGCTCAACAGTCTACTTTTTTCTTGTTTATCAGACACAATACAATCCATAACAAAAGAAAGGTGTTGTGATGACTCTGTCAAGTTTTATGTCGCGACGAATATGCGAGGGTACGAAGACAATATAGTGCTAGGTAATAACACTGGGTTGTTGTTGCTTGAACTTTACTCCGAACACAATTTAAAGTTGCGAGTGAAACAATTTGACTTAAAACTTAAGGAGTCCAAGTCAAGTTGTGAAATGGTGTCTTACCATATAATGATGTCTATCATCGGAGCATCACCCGACTTCTTCGAGAAATTTGGAATTACCATAATGGACAAAAAGGCAACACTGAATGTCACAACGGTTGATGGTGGTGATACGGATCTCTATTTTTTCAATCAAAAAGTGGAGGATCTCATTGGCTTTGTTCCACATTTGGGGAGTACAGGAATTGGTGTTTCGTTCATTGGTGTTGGTGGGAAGATGGTTGTAGGTTTTACATGTGACGAAGGATTGGGTCTGGACCCAGCTGATTTGTTCAACGCCTTTTTGAGTTCATTTGAACAGCACAAAGTCGTTGTTTAGTGTAATTTCACACCTTTTTTATATCTAATCGTTCTAATTGTTCTTATAGTAATTTAATTATAATAAAAACTAAAACGTTCTATTTGTATAGTAATAACACTAATTAGAGAATTATAGTAAGTTATAAGCAATTTGATGAACTAAATAAAACAGACTTGATGTCATATACAAAATTATCAAATAGTGAATTGACCGTTCTGGTTAGTTCCAAAGGCGCTGAGTTGACGAGTGTGATTCAAAATTCAACGCAAAGAGAATATTTGTGGCAGGCCGATCCAAAGTATTGGAAGCGTCACTCTCCAGTGTTATTTCCAATTGTTGGAAGTTTATGGGGTGGAAAGTATACGTATGAAGGAAAAGTCTATGAAATGTCACAACATGGATTTGCTCGAGACAGTAGCTTTGAGTGTCGTGATGTGAAAGAAAATGAGGCAAAGTACCGTCTAATTGCATCAGAAGAAACAAAGAAGAAGTACCCATTCGACTTTGATCTTGAAATAACATACAAATTGTGTGGCAGTTCAATAACAGTGAAGTGGACTGTTACAAACCCATCAAGTGACAAACCACTTTATTTCCAAATTGGAGCACATCCAGCCTTTAATTATAAAGACCACAACGAGGAATGTGAAATTCAAAGCACTCTACTTTTTGAACCAAAACGCGATGACTACACGTTGACAACACTCTCGCAAAAGGGATGCGTCAAAGAAGAAAAACAAAAGACGACCATCGAAGGCGGTGTTGTCAAGATCAGAAAAGACACATTCAACTGTGACACACTTATATTTGAAGACTCACAAATCAAAACAGTTGCACTGGTGGACAAAGAGCAAAAACCATATGTGAAAGTAACATCTGAAGCCCCAGTGTTTGGGTTTTGGTCACCCGCCGTGGGGAAGTATGCGCCGTTTGTTTGTTTAGAGCCTTGGTTTGGAAGATGTGACACTGAATATTTCGATAAAAATTTCGACCAAAAGCCTTGGATGCAGTGCTTAGAGCCAAACAAGAAGTTTGAAGGAGGTTATTGTATTGAGATACTTTAAATGACTTTTGTTGTGATTGTTTTGGTAAATACAACGTTTACTGTATTTTCATTGTGTGTTAGATGACTTTGGTATTGATGCGAAGTTATTATACCTTTACATACTATATTGAGTTCGTTGACCAATAAAAAGTTAGACACTTATTGGTATTCTTGTTTTACTTTGTTTAATAATGGTCTATTATTGTAAAAACAAGCCTAATGTTTGTTATACACTTATTTGAATAAGGACAATTGGTAGTGTTGCTGGATCATAGTGGAATTGAAAAGGATAAATATATAAAAACTCACTCGAACAGAATCCATTTTACTTGGTTGTTGAATAACTTGGTGGCGAATTTTGCCTCCATTTGAATTCACTTTATATTAAATTGGTTAAATAAACCAATTCGATTGGTTTGGAATTTTTTCAAACTGCAATTATCTACTAACCTTTCCTCTTTAAAACAACTTTTTAAAATAAGGTGGTGGTTTTCTAAAAAAATTGATTTTGAATTGAATTGAGAATAAGCTGTGTACGCCCGTTTTTACTGATCAATAATGAACAATACTTAATAATTTGGGTAGTCTTTTTTTATCTTTTTAAATATAACACATATCTATTTATACACAGATTTGATATATATATAGTATTTATAATTGTATTTTTACTATAAATTTACTATCAAAAATGCATTGATCTTTTCTTGTGTTTTTTGAATCAAGAAAATGGAGAGTGTTCTATATATAAGTGATATCGAATTATAAACGTCATGCGCTACATATGAAAAATAAGCAGTTTTGTCGAAAAGCAGAGAAGAAAATGGACAAAGTCCCACATAAAAGCAAATTTGACACCAATGATTCTATTAAAAGCCAATTTATTGCAAAAGAAAAGCAATTATTAAAAACTTGATTGGTATAATGTGTGCCTCAAATTCAATCAAATGAAAGGGACAATTTTCTCATGAATAGTTGATCCCGAGACAAAGGCAAACTCTTCTTTTTCTTACCAAATAATTAATATTTTGTGTATTAAAAGCCTAGTATCCCAAGAATTCCAGCTGAAAACTTGCTTTATTTATACAGTTGTGAGCACTTTTATTGTTAAATATCAAAGCTTAAAATTTACCCAAACATAGTCCATTTTTACCCGCCCGATTTCATGAAAAGATGACCCCCTTATTTTTACGATTAGTTGATTTATTTTTACATATCAATTTGTTAATTTATGCTCAAATGTAGTGTTTTTTGTTCGTGTTCCCAATTATTAGCACAAATTTTATATATTAAATACCTGATCAATATTAACCGAGGCAAAAACGCAGTCGAAGAATTCAACAATATTGTTACTTAAGAAATGGAGGTATTCAATTAAAAACACCTAAATATATCCGCTTTTTGAATAAGTAATTGACAGGTCTTACCAACGCTTTAAAGAGACAATTAAAAATATGACAACCCACTATATAAACGTGGTTTATCACACTTTTGCATATCACAAAAACAAATGGGAAACACATCTACAACACCAAGATCTTCAAGAAGCGGTTCTTTGACACACCCCGAGAAATTATCAGTCACCTTTGATACTTCAGACATCTCAATCTCAACCAAAAAGCACAAGACGATGAAACTCTCAAACCCACCCCGATTCTCCAACGAAGGAAATTCTATGACAACGTTGGCCAAATCAAAGTCGGACACCTCTCTTTTCTCAAAGACAAAGCTATCTCTAAGACGAAGGTATTTCACAAAACCACAACTCGAAGCAGTACAAACAGATAATGACACACAAGTCTCTTTTACCGAAAAAGATGAAAATAATTTGTATAACAATGTTTTATACAATTTCTTTGTATCTAGGACAATGGCTGATGATCTTAAAGTAGTATTTGACTCAGAAGTTTCGGGATTTGATCCAAGAGAACTCAGATCCAATATCAGCTGTAAAGACAGGCTCATTTTCATATTCAGAGTCAATGGAGATATATTTGGATTGTATCAAGATGGATTTGTACAACCATCCAAACCAAATTCAATGAATGTTGAAACAGACAACTTCTTTTTGTTCTCTTTCAAATTAACTGACTCTACTCCCTCTGTATATTCGAGAAAAACACAAAAGAAAAGTTCATTTATTCTGTATCCAGACTCCAATAAAATGGTCATTTCTGTATTTTCTGCGTTTTGGATGGACAAAGAGGGGATAATTTCTTTCAACCCCTGTGTCAAAGACTTCTACGATATCAAGAGTCCATCTTTCAATCCTTTTGTGGACTCCAACCCAAGAGACAGGCAGCCTTCTGTTTGTTCGAGGTTTCTAGTTTTGAGAGCCTAAATGTTATATTTTTATATAATAAATTATTGTTTTGTTGTTGATTTGTTTATTAATAATAAACTATTTTAAATTCTAATAATAAACAACTTCACTTCTATTTTTGATTTGTTTTAATTTAATAATAAAAATTTATTAATTAAATTAAAAGTATTTAATTTTATAGTTAAAAACAAATTAAATTATTTAAATTTCTGATAAATATTTACAGTCAAAGGCGTCTATTTGTCGTAATTATAATTGTCGAATTTGCTATTTGTCGCACAACTGGCCAATCATTTGCGTGTACACAATTAAATATTTTGTTCTCTAATTTGTAACTTTTGTTGAATTAAAATTATATTTTTATAAACAATAAATTTCAATATTAAAAAGATTTTTCTACAAATTCACTCATTTACGACAAATAGATACGTTTTTCTGCTGGATTCACTACAAATAGACGCCTTTGGCTGTAAATGAAATAAAATAAAAGAATTAAAATTAGCATATGTTAAAATATATATTACATTAAATAATATTATGGTAAACATGTAACCATATAAGCACCAAAAATTCAATTATGCGTTTCGAATTTAATTTGTTATTGGATTGCATGGCTTGGGTGAACATGTAACCATATAATTGTATTATAAAAATTGAAAATTAAATAAAGACCAACAAAAAACAGCAATTTATTTTAAAACCAAACATTGCCCCAAAGATATATATTCGCCACAAAGTTGAAATAACCAACACTAAACAAAAACGCCTTCTATACTAAAAGGTTTAAGTAATCTTTGCTTTGTAGCCTTTTTAAAAAAGTCAAATTTATCAATTTTGACATCTTCGAGAAACTCGTTGTTTGTAGTATCTTTTAGCAAATTTTCTGTATTCACAGCGATTTTTTCTTCAAATATTTTAGTCAAAATGTCATGAACTTCTTTAAATGAAATTCGTTGAAGGTAGTTGTATTCCCAACACCTTGAAATGAGATTTCCAAGGTCTTTTGGAATACGGTCGTCCAAAGGTGGCATTTTCCCGGCGATGACTGCGCTTTTAATATCAAACAAAGTTTTTGAGTCTTCAAACGTCCGTTTCTCATAGAAAATTTCCCAACACAAAATTCCGAATGAAAAGACGTCTGAGAAATTGCCGAATATATGTGTGTACACCTCTGGTGGATCGCACCGCGGATTTTTCATGAAGACGCCATTGTCCTCGGCTTTTGCGCGAAGATCAGCACGTCCCCAGAAGTGGCAAATCTGAGCCGTCACAACAGGGAATTCCAAAGAGAATGTGTTCATTAGAACATTTGACAATTTGAGGTTTAAGTGGAGCAATTTAAATTCGTGGAGATAGTGTAACCCGCACTCTATGTCTTTCATTACTTTTAATTTATATAAGTATGAGAATTGTCCTTTGTAAATTGGATTGAAGAAATAAGCGTCGGCGCTTCCTAAACTGCGCACTTCATACATTGAAAATATTTGTTGTTCATAGAGAAAATAGCCATTTGGCATGAGAAGATATGGTGACCTTAAATTCTTTATGGCCGAATAATATTTATCAGAAGAAATTTTGAGATCCTCTGCCCCTTTGGATGTTAAAGTTGAGAGGTCGATCGACTTTAATACGACTGGTGTGCCCCTGTAAACGGCGATTGTCTTTATCTTCTGCGAATGCTTCGTATTGAGTTTTTGTGGGGAAAGAAACACCTCGTCGTAGTCGACACGAAACGAATTTTCAATTTGTGTGTTGACCATAAGCTCGAAATATGAGGGATTCAATTTACTCAGCAAATCGTTGTATTGGAGAGAGTCACCAATGTCCAAAACGTTTTTGTCGAAAATGAGTTTTTGTAATTCAATCAGCTTTGCCTTGTCGCCGTAGTACATCGAAGCGTAGAAGTAAGTTCCTCCCAATTGTGTAGTGCAGTGTGGCGTGAACAACAAAACAAACTGTTTAGTTTTTCCTCTAGAAATGATTCTAGTCTGTGGGCAGAAATGGACTGAGTATTTAGAGACATTCGGTGAATGAAAAATGATGAACATAGGGTGGGTCGTGTGATTAGTAATTTCTATGACTTCATAAACTGTCTCGTCTATTTTTAAAGTCTTGTTTTTTGCTCCGAAAGTGAGGTTACACTTATTCGATGGATATTTATTAGTGTATGGCATCACATGTGTCATTTTAGAAACATCATAATAATAAGTAGGTTGGGGGTATTCCGTAGTTTCAGCCACATTTTTTAGAATAAATCGTTCTTTCCTTGATATAATAATAGTCAGGCAAACAGTAATAATTAGAACAAAAAACAAAAAGATGCAAGAAATAGTGACGAGTGTTATTAACACGATGTGATACTTTCTTGTGCACGAGCCCGGACGCTTTTTGTCCGGCTCAAAGCCTTCATAACACGTGCAATCAATCACATTACACGACGCGCCAGAATCACATTGTTCTTCTTCATGATCTAATTTGCCATTTCCACAGGTTATTGGAATACATTTGGTACTTTTGAGGATATACCCATTTTCACAATTGCAATTTGATTGACAGTGATTTTTACCACGTTCACACAGATCACCATTTTCTTGAATAATATTGTTGTAACAGGCTTCACTCACACAATAATGATCAAGAATATAAGTCCCATTGTAACAATTACAATACGAGTCACAATTTGATTCACCATAATAACACTTTTCATTAATATTTTGAATGTGCCAAGTATTATTATAATAACACAATTCGTGACAATCTTCACCACCATATTTTTCACTGGTACATACACACTTCCCAAGTTGAATACTACAATTGCCACCGTTGTTCTCTTCGTTACAGTTGTTCGGACAAATCACCCGCATAGTGAATTCAGTCCGCATAACCATGTTCCTCGAAAACAATCTGAAGATGTTTTCCTCAAATGAAGTTCCAACAGGAGAATACACAAACCCAGTCTCGGGGTGCATCTTCCACAAGTCTCGCCTCATCCTTGTCCCATTCACACAATAACATTTTGCATAGACATTCGTGACATTCACACACTTAACATACTCCAAAAACTGTGTTTCGCCATTAGAACTTGTCATAAGAATTCTGCTCTTCTTTGGAATCGAGCCAAGAATTTGGAAAAAGAAAGATTTGTAGGGAGTGGTCTGTGGAGAGCACGCGGCGAAGTCTGTGACGCTCATAAGACTGAAGTCGAGGTGAAGGTGAATAGGCTGTTCGACAAAATTTGATATATTATACACTTCAAACTGAATGTTTTGAAGCATCTTGTCTGCAGTTAACATTGAGACTGTCATTTCACAATCAAAGGCTTCGACCATCCCAACAAATAAAGTAAAATTGGTTTCTGTGCTCTTTGTTCGTGTGATGGAATACCCCGTTTGACCTGCCAGTGTTGTGGTACTGAAACACTCTGGTTCATATACTCTATTCGCGTCATCAAAAACAGTTTTGGTTAACTCAATTTTAACTTTCCCTTCTGTCGTGTTTTTCTGAACGTAAATGTTGATGTAATTTTTGGTACTCGAAGGGGGAAAATAAAAGTGAAAATATTTGCCAAAGCGATATTGATTGTTGGTGTCGTCGTCGTGACATATCCCAAGCATCGGAGTCATCGTTTTTGTGACATTAAAGGTAATTGGTGTGTTAAAAAATAGCTCTTCAATAAATAGAGGTTTCCAGTATAAAACAGAATCAGTCGAATTTGTGACGATGCAGCTTTTGTTGTACATCAATATAAGTGGATTAGTGTCCGAAAAGTTTTCATAAGGGTTAAATAATTGGCATTCAGTGCATAACGATGTCTGTCGAAAATTATCTTTACACTTGATACAGATCTCTTCACTGTTTTGTGAAGAATTAAAACAGCCAAGACAGCCCGTCCCACAGTACGCGAAACATGTTGTTATTAATTGCAAAAGAAACCACATGTAAAACAGTTGTTTAAATTGTGATTTAGTAGTTTTATGTTTGAAAATTACAAAAATTAATAATTAACTAATAAATTATATTGTTTTATTATTATTTTAAGTTGTACAAACATTAATTAGTCTTTTTTGTTTCATATAACAGCATTTCTTACTACTTGTTTTAATTTCAAATGTTTTATTAATTATTTTTAAATTAATTTAAAATGTTAATAAATAACTAAAAACATTATGTTATTAGTTTGCAGTTAAATGGAGTTAAAATTATCATCTAAATTAATTGCTGTGTACCATTTAAATTAAAAACTGTAAAAATATTTTTACCAATATTGAATTAAAAGAAACTTAAAAACTTTTTAAAATATAAATTAACAAAATATTATTAGTATTGAAAAGATTTGTTATCAATGATTTCAAGTTTCAATTCATAATAAAATAACTTACATCAATAAAATGTTTTTACTAAAAGTTTTAAATTATTAACACTTTAAATAACATTGAACAAAATTCAAGTGGTCTAAAAATAGGGGAAATATCGAGTTTATTAAATAAATTTCCGTTTTTTAGAGATTATATTATGTGCATAAACAATACACAAGCCAAAAAAGGAAAATCATCAAAATTGGATTAATATCCCTGGAATAACAGGTCAAAACAAAAATAAGGGCGTTATTTTAAGTGTTAAAAGAAAAAAATAGAATTATATATTGATTTTATATATAAAAATATGTTAGCAAAATGAATTTGATGTTTTATATTAACAATCTGATATTTGTAACATAATAACATATAATAAAAACGTATATAATATCTAAATAAAGTTTTTGATGGTTTTTAATTTTAAAGTTTTTTAATATTTCTATATTTGTGATTTGAAAATTCGAAATAATTTTGGTTTTTTAATTTAAAACGTATGACTGGATGGCAAAAAATCGGTGGATAGCGGAAATAGAACACATTTATTTCCAAATATAAAATTATTTTTTTATCTTTTTAAAAACACCAAAAAACTTGTTTTGCTCATATATAAAAAATATTTTTCAAAATATATAGTACACATAAAGGAAATGTTGAATTACTCAAGTTCTATTTATTTTGAAAAATGTAGTATTATTTTTATAGATTATTTAAATTAACCATGTTTTTAGTTGTAAAAAAACACAATATATACTTGTTACAATACAACAGTTTTAAATAATTATTTAATTTAAATATCGTTATAATTGTTGTATGAGGTACAATTTTACACAAATATAAGTTACAATGTAGAAACAATAACGTGGTTTATTATATTTTGTGAGTTTATAATTTTTTTGTTTAATTATTTTTATTCAAAAGTTTACACTTATATGTTATTCAAACAACTTAAATTAAAGCATACTATTGATTTTTTTGTTCAAAATCAAGTATCACGTTTACTACACCTTTTTATTGTTATTAAAACTGTATTGGTGTTGTTACTATTTGATTTTGTGTATTATTAAAAATTTAGAAAAAATTGATTAATTTTGATTGTTTGTATCATTAAACAATTATTTTGTTTATAAGAATATATATTGAAGTTTTTCAACCCTTTGACACCGAGCAAATTTATTTTTAATATCTCATGTTAAAATGTTCCAGAGCAATAAGTTGGTAATAAAAATTGTTGTGAACAAATATATACTTTTAAACTTGGTTTAATGTTTAATGGTTTTTTTAAAGGTATTGTGTTTAAATTCATAAGTTGCCTTATATTATAATTGAACTTTTCGAAATGAAAGTTTAGTTATTGACAGTGAAACTCTTTCAATCAACTAAATTTAAATAATTAAAAAATAATATTCAATAAGTGGCTCCACTTAATTTTATTAATGTAGTTGTGTTTATAAAATACATGTGATTAATCTTGTTTGTTGTATTATAAAAATAATAAAAAGTTAGTTAAATAACGAATTTTCATTATTTTGATTATATGTAATTATGAACAAAAAGTTTCGGAAGGAAAAATGCGACCATATTATTAAGTCACACAATAAAATCAATCACAATGAATTGTTTTTTCTGTTTTAAAAAAATGTCACACAAATAACTTAAATTTTACCATTATTAACCCTAAAAATAGTGGTTTTAATTATTTATAAAACAAAGTTATCAACATGATTAAATATTTAAGTCAATTAATAATAGATATACAATATTGTATATATAAATGTAATTTTCAGTTAAATAATGACTGTTAATGACATTGATATTCTCTATTATTTATTGTAACTATAGTGTAAATTATTTGAAGTATTGTTGAAACAAAGTTAAATATAATATAAACAATTGTTATTAATTTTATTGTGTAACTATTTGGAGCTTTTCAATTATCATTCAACATATTTTGTTGAGAATTACATTCAAGTGAGACATCAAATACAATTGTTTTTTTCTAAACAATTGTTTTATTGTTTTTCAAAATACAAAACACAACAGTAAATATATGTATTTCTAAAATACCACAAATATCACAATCAATTAAGATGGAGGCACATATTACAGGTACAGTGGTATTCACTTTAAATCCTTTACCCGGCATTTTAAATAATTTTTTATGCATTTTAATAAAACTGTTTTCATAATTTTTATTAATTCGGAAATTATAATAAATTGTATTAACAAGTTAAATAAAACAAACGGAAAAAGAGAAAAAAGACCAGAAACAAAATAATTCGAGTTCCACAAATAAATCAAACGGCACGAAAATAAATCATTCGGAACATTAATAAATATATTTTGCATTAAGAATTAATTCACTTATATTTTAATTATTTCGTCACCAAATCAATTATAGTAAATTTTTTAAAATAATTATTATAAAACAACAAATAGTTGTTTGTTTATAAAAAAATAAACAGAAACGATTAACAACAAATATAAATTATAAATTTACTCTTGCAAAAAACACCTTCGAAGTTCATTTCGACACCGCTGTATTGATAAGTTGATATCTTTGCTCGTTTTTTGATATTTTTTAATATCAAGCACTTTGGGGGTTTTCGATTTTATGATACTTTTCTCTATTTTTCACTTCAGCCATTTAGTTTCTTATTGTTCAGTAGAGTCAGTTGGATTATTAATGGGGAAATGATTTCACCTTTAATCATTTTATTAATAAGTAATTTGCAATTGTCTATGGGAATGCCAGAATCAAGTGAGAACTGCATAGAATCAACAGTCTTTGAGGTTCTAAATGCATTGACCAATTCCTGTTTCGTTTTTAAAGTTACAGTTCTTTACCGTTTTGTCTTGTTGTCATCTTTTAAACTATCTTCATTATTTTCCTATTTATTACTTTGTGTTGTCAGATGATAAAAAAATTCAATGTGTCGAGTTACTAAAGGAACATTTTGATGTAGTTCGGGAGCATTTTCAATGTAATCGGCGGACTTACGTTAGTAACATCAATATATTTTAAAGAAGAATTCTTCATGTGTATTTTCAAATTTTGATTATTGAAATGAAGATTATATAATAATTAATATAAAAATTTACTATAATTGATTTGGTGACGAAATAATTAAAATATAAGTGAATTAATTCTTAATGCAAAATATATTTATTAATGTTCCGAATGATTTATTTTCGTGCCGTTTGATTTATTTGTGGAACTCGAATTATTTTGTTTCTGGTCTTTTTTCTCTTTTTCCGTTTGTTTTATTTAACTTGTTAATACAATTTATTATAATTTCCGAATTAATAAAAATTATGAAAACAGTTTTATTAAAATGCATAAAAAATTATTTAAAATGCCGGGTAAAGGATTTAAAGTGAATACCACTGTACCTGAAAAACCGACCAGCACAGAAAAAACGACCAGCAAACTATAAAAAATAGTTTCTAAAAACTATTTAAAAGTTTTTTTAATGCAAAATTTGAAAAAACAGGACATAAAACTAAAAACTATAATATACTATAAATTTATGGTTTGCCGGTCGGTTTTTCAGGTATTGTTTGGAAAAAAAGATAACGGACGACCGTCATTTTTAACTGAAACACAATGGGAAACTGTCAAGAATTTGATTCTTGATAATGAAAAGTTTCCAGGAAAATGCCAAGCTATCAGCATAACTTATTTGAGGTTGTTTATAATAAAAACATTCAACGTTGATGTGTCAAACCACGTTATTTATGATAAAATACACAAAAATTGGAACTTTTCGATTGTGACTGTGTTTGCTGAAGACCAATCTCGATTGACCTACGACGAAGATGCCATGTTGAAGTATTACATTGCGCTGCCACTTTTTTAAAAGGCATCCCATCACAATTTATTTTGAATTTGGATGAGTCGGGGTATCAGCCATGGCCAGACAGGCAAATGGTGAAGGGAGTATTTACTGCTGGTTTTTCCACAGACAGTAAAATGAAATATGGAGTCGAACGTGACATTGCTCGAACCACTGTCGTTTGCACTATAACCCCCTCACAACCTCTTTCTTGTATGATTGTAACAAAATACAAAAGAGTTGCAGTTGAATTCTTGAAATTGGGTTGGATGGAAACGGGAAACATCGTCAGTTATAGCAAAAACGGTTTTATCAACAGTGACTTATTTATACAATACATCAACGACGTTGTAGTACCTTATATTGTCGACACGAGAATTAAGACTGGTTATATTGATAAGGCAGTGCTGATATTTGATCAATGCACTTGCCACTCAATCGAAGATGTGAGGTTGTTGCTCAAGTCGAATGTCCAAGTCAATGAGAAAATCATCAATGTGAACTGTGAAATCGTATGTTTGGTGCCTCACACCTCACATTTAACACAACCATTAGATGTTGGGGTGTTCGCAGCCCAAAAAAGAAGACTGAATTCGTTGTATGCGAAGTTCAAAGAAGTCATAAAAATTAAAGATAGAGTTGGCGAGGAAGAAACAACAACGACAGAAAGTGAAGACGTTGAAGAAAAAGAAGAATCAAATGATGTGATTGGAAGCCAAGATCCCATTGAAGAACCAATAATACCTCAACAGTTGGAGTATATGTTTCAGGAAGTGCTGGCAAATCCACAAGAAGCGATATCACCATTTAAAAAGAAGGCTGTTACGACTGTCAACAAAAGGATGGTGGATGACAACCAATCAGAAGATCACTACGAAATACCAAATGAAACTAAAATTGTTGAATTTGGTGATGGAAAGGACTTGGAAAAAAAGTTTGCCAAATACCTCAACTCTATTCTGAAGTTTTATTTCCAAACAACTACTCCGGATGTGTGCACGCAGGCTTTTAGGCAAGACGGTATTGATTTTAGAATTGTTGATGGTGGTATGAGGGTTGCGTATGTAAATATTGGAGTGTCACGCAGAGTCACAGCATAAATACCGAGACGGTTAAGTATACCATAGTTATACTCGATTGAATGCGTCAAAACCAAAAGCTTGAAAATATCTGCAATTCGAAAACTTCCAAGGTGTTTTGAGGGTTATTTTTGTCAGTCTGTTTGCAAGAAGTTCAAAAGAAAAGAATCGGATGTTGTATGTAAAGTTGTGAAGAAAAAGACGACCAAAAAAATCTCAAAAAGAACTAAAAATGGGGTTGAGAATTTAATCAATTGATTTTTATCTTTTTAATCAGTTGTATCGCCGAGTTTACATTACTGTTTCCTATCACGGGGTCAAAATGGTCACTGATTGGATCAATACATGTCTGAACTGTCATAAGTCCTTCGAATAGAAGAGATTCGTTTGTTAAAAGTTCTTTCGTTATGAAGATAATAACTTGTAGAACTTGCTCGTAAAGACTCTTGAATTCAACGTTGCCTGCTTTGAATCGTCTAGTTGCTATGGCTGATATGTCCAATATACCTGGGATTCTTTGGCGTGAGGTCTGAGTCAGTTAGTTGATAAGTGCTGGCTGTTCACACTTTGAAAGCTGCTTTGTAGGTTTCCAAACAAATTGAAAGAGAAAATGAACTGTAAATAAGTGATTTTTTTATTTGATCTTTTTGAATTTTTTGAAATAAAAAAATAATAATTTTATTACATAAAAGTTACACAATTGTAACTTTTGTTGAATCCACAGGGTTTTCTCATTCTCACATACTGTAATTATTTTTGTCTAACCACAACAAGATTTATTAAACTAACCAACACTATTAATATAACCATTAAAAAATTATACTATATTATTAAATTAAATTTCAAAAAACACTCTTTGTTTTTAAATAAAGAAACAACTACAAAAAGAACGAATAAACATAAATAAAACATGAAACTAAATAAATATTATTATGACATTGTTACTTTGCTGTCTTATACTCATTTCTTTGTCAATGGCAAAAATTAATATTTTAACTAACCCATCATTTGAAACGATGGACGGTACTAAAGTCAAAAATTGGACACTTTCTGCTTCAACGACGGTATATACTGCAGATAAAAAAGATGGTGCTCAATCAATCAAAATAGTAGGTTCATCTAAACTTGAATATGTAAGTCAACGAGTAGTTTTAGAAAAGGGATTTCAATATGAAGTATGTTGCAATGTAAAATTAACAGCAAATGCCAAGAAATTCTTTGCGTTTGCCATCGAAGAGTCGTTCAATGGGACTTGGATCACGGGTTCATACCATTCCCTTCTTAATGAAACGAATGGCTGGGAGAAAAAGTGCTTCACAACTAAAGTCGTTAAGAATGAGACACATTCGTATAACAATATTTACTACATAGCCAAAGACACCAATGGAATTGCTTATGTAGACAGTGTTTCAGTGACCAAATTCACTTCATTTCTTGAGAATGTCGAAGTTGTCAGTTACAGACAAGAAGTGCAAGACTCTCAAAAGACGATAGAAGTGTATGTCAAGCAAAATGCGTCTTCTGAAATAGATCTTCAACACCTGCAAATTACAGTTTCAATTTCTAAAAGTGGTGTTGTTAAAACATCTAAAACCATGTTTGCTACAGGAACAATCACTAATATACAAATGAATAACATTTTAACACTCAAAGGATTATATGATGTCACTGCCGAGTTATTGTATCTTCCAGAGAACACCAAAGAAACTATTAAAACACGGTTAAATCGCGTAGTTGATAAACACCAGAAATTCACTTTTGATAAATACGGAAGAGTATTAGAGAACGGAGTGCCATTTTTACCTATTGGCATGTATTACTCTTCAATTACAGAAGATGAAATGGAAGAATTGGTTAAGACCCATATTAACATAATGATGCCTTATGGCAAGCCGCCTATCAAAATGTTGGACATAATGAATGCGAAATACGGCGATAAATTACGAGCTTTAATTACAGTCAAAGACTTGTATTCATATAATAGATCATCGTGTAATATAACTAAGGATTATTATAACGTGGAATATAAGAAATTGTTGACTTATATTGAGACGTACAAAGACCACCCTAATGTCTTTGCGTGGTATGTCGATGACGAAACTCCGTTATGTGGACTTGATGAGATGATCAATTTGACTATGACTATTAGAGATAAAGACCCCAATCATCCGTGTTACTCCGTATATTTCCAGCGTCAAGATACAGTTCAATATCTTCCTGCGTTCGATGCCTTTGGATTGGACATATATCCCATCAACGAATCGGTAGTGTTCAATGTATACAAATATCAAAAGGAAGTGAATGATATTGTCATGGGCACTCGATCGACTTGGCCCGTTCTACAAGCTATGAATTGGAAATCATATGCACTGAAATATCCAGAATTGTATGGAAAAAAGGTAACACGAGCACCAACTTTACAGGAGTTAAGGGTGATGAGTTGGTTGGGGTTCATTGGAGGAGCTAAAGGAGTGTTTTACTATTCTTACTACGATCTAGTGTATATGGACGATAAGGGAGATCCTTTTGTGAACAGGTGGTTTGACGTGACAGTCACTACAAATGAAATATACAACATGAGAGACGTCATTCTTTCTATTGAACGACCATCAGAATATGATGTCGAAATGGAGACAGACAAAGTTGTGTTTTTAAAGAAACGAGTGAAAAACTACGATTATATAATCATCGCAAATGCAGACCAAAAAGAAGAAAGAAACGCAAGTGTTGTTCTTCCTAATGGAAAGTATGAACGAATATTGGGAAATGGAATTATCAAAAACAATAAAGGAAAGGTGGAAATTAAATTAGAACCTATCGACGTTTTTATATTGAAAATGGAATCATCTACTTGTGAACTGGTTGTCTTATTCGTGTTATTAATTATGATATCCATTTAACGTTCGTTTTATACCATAATCAAAGTAATTGATATGAAAATTAAACATATTATTAATATTATAATGTGTTTCAAAATAAAAATTATATTATATTTTATATTATAAAGACATTTAATATATTCAATTAATATTATAATTACTAAAGTTGATTACAGTAAAACCTCTCATTAGTGAGTCTTTTTTACCAATCAAAATCAAAAACACTTATTGAGGGGGAAGAAAAGGAGAAAAACAATTATATTATCATTATTGAGGGGTTTTATTTTTTTTGTATAATCTATTACCATTGAAAAATTTTACTGTATTATATTAGCAATAAAAACATGAGTTTAAACAATACAAATATATTAAATATTTGTTATTATTTTATTTAACAAAATGTTCAAATAAACAAAAAATGAGTAAAAACAACTTTGTTTTAAGTACGTTAATTACAAATAAATGAAATACCAACGTGCTAAATATGACTGGAAAACCATAAAAATGGTATCCAAAAACTATTTAATGGGTTTTTAAATGCAAAATTTAGATAAAGATTTTTTAAAGAAGAAAATGTATTATTTTTTGATAATGTGTATTTAACACCCGATAATATTTATTTAACAATTTAATGGTATATTTTATTTATCAACCACGTTGTTATAATATGCATTTTATTTAAAACTTTAATATAAATAAATATATTGACATTGAGTGTTACTGGCAATCAAAAACAATACCTATTGTTATAATTAGCTAATATTAATAAATAAAAAAACTATAAAACGTTTTGTAATAATATATTTAATTGTTTTTTAATTATTTACTTGATCGTTTTTATGAAAATAATATTTAAATGTCATATTTCAAAATAGTGAATCAAAGACTAAATTAATTCATATAGAGGATTTGTTTATATTTTGGGCTATTGCTGTTGTTAGAACTGTTAAGCAGTTGAAGATACGCCATGTATTTTTTTGTGTAAATAATATGTTAGTATTGTGCTTGTTAAATTGAGGCAATTGCCATAATGTAACAACACCAACAGATCCCTTATCAACTTGATGCACGGATATTCATCACTATTTTATATTATATATATTCGTGTATTACCTTGATTGAGACTAATATTTTTATATCTCTTTAAGCCTGGTAGATTTGAAATTGATGTCAAATGGTAGCAAGTCCTGTATATAGTGGAATACCTCGAAATGAATATTCAGTACTTTGATTCTTTGAGACTTTGTCCAAAGTCAGACATTTTTTACTTGTAAAGAAAACAAACAGTGTATAGTATTGTATTTGTTTGATCATATACAAAATTGGGTTTAAATGTTTGTTTTGTGTTTTCGATTTTTATTAACAAATTAGTATGAACCTTGTATCACACTCTGGCATTTTCAGGTTTTTATTTTTTCAGTGTTAATGGTTCCCAAAACTGCATTAAAAAAAACATTTCTCAACATTGCGAAAAGTCAAAAAAATCATACATCTGTATATTTACTTTATATCTTATATGATCACATTTTATTGTTACTATTGTTGGCCTGTAGGCACTGAAATTGCTTTGGGTAACTTTATTGAGCCCTACTACTTATGTACAACCAATGGTTATTTAACGCCACTTGATACAATCAGCGAATTAATAATTATTGACAAATCGAAATTGGCCAAAAGTAACAATAATACTCATAAAAACAATATAAAAATCGATATAGATGAAATTAATGTTGTTGTTATCGGGACGCTATTAGTAAGTATGGAGAGATAAATTAATTTAAATATTATTATTGAAACATCTGAAATACAGACAATTAATTTTGCGAGTATTTCATCAAATAAAAGTGTTATAGTCCGGAGCCAAAAGTACTTTATATATAACAACAAACAATGCACTTATGGTGTATACACAAAGAACAGTTTTACTTGTCTGAATTATTATTCATGTACCAACTTATATTTCTCTACAACTCCATCAAAGTGTATTGAATATCCAATTGAAAAATGTGTTTCTTGTTTAAGTACAGGAAAGTGTATTAAATGTGAAACGTATTATCTTTTGGATAGTAAGAATACCACATGTACACTATTTCATATAGACAACTGTTTGATATCTCAAAATAAAATTTGCTTGAAATGTGACGAAGGTAAATTGTTAGAAAATGGTTTGTGTGTATCACCCAAGAACAATTGCCAACAATTTGATATCGATACAAATTGTTTGTTATGTGACACAACACGGAAATTGAATATTAAAGGCATTTTATGTGAACCAGTTGATATTAAAAATAATTCTTATTCACAAAGAAACATTATTTCTTGTGTTGATGGGTACTTTGTTTAAAACAACAAACGTGTGTCATGTCAAGATAAGTACATTTGGAAGTTACTAATGTGACTTAACACGACAACTACAATGTAACACAACATTAAATTGTGTGTTGGAAAAAAATAAAAATTGTGAAAAAAGTTTGTGTTTTTAATGGAAAATACACAGAAAGACCAAAACGGAAAATGTCTTTCTAATCAACCCAATTGTTGTATAATAGCGAATAACAATTGTGTTACCTGTGATGAAAATTACATTTTATCAAATTCAAAGTGTCTTTCGTTGATAATAATAATTGTGAAATTATAAACTCAACATTTTTGCGCTGTAAACCGACATGTTATATAGATGATACATCAATGTCTCAAACATGTGTAATTTGTGATGTTTCGAAATGCCAAATAATTGATTCAAAATACTTGTTTGAATCAATAAATTTATCAATTTTTATTAAATATTTTATTGAAAAACAGTTTCAATGTTTTTATTTAAAACATATAGAAAAAAAGTTTGTTTTAATTTATTTTTATTGTATTGTATAATTAAAATAGATTATTAAAACAATATTTTGACTATAAATCTTTTTTATTTATGTATATATATAATTTTCTAAATACAGTGAAAAGGGTCTATTTGTCGTTATTTGATATTTTTTGTTCTAAAAATAATATCTTCTTGAATGTTTTTACTGTTTTAATATGCTGTATTTGACTTAAATAATTATAAGATTTGTACTTTGTTTTAAGATGTTTTTTAAACATCTTGAAACAAAGTACTATTATTATTAAAATACACCAAAAATTATGTTAATTAAAATTTTGATGACTTCAAAATCTTGACAACTTCATTAATGTCAGGTCGATTTTCTTGTTGTTGGTTCCAACATCTCTGTATTAAAATATAATGGCATTCATTCATATTTTCTTTTTTTTCAAGTCTTTTTCCTTCACTCACAAACTCTGCTATTTTCCACGGAAACTTGAATTCGTTTTTGTCATAGGCTTCTCCCCATTTTAAAGTTTCATAAAAAGTTATTCCAAACGAGTAGATGTCTGCGCTCATCTTGTACTTTTCTCTCTTCAAAATTTCAGGAGCCATATATACTGGTGTGCCAACGCCTTTTGTAAAAGTCATGTTTGTCATCAGTAGATTAATATTTCTTGCACTTCCAAAATCAGTCAGTTTTGCGTTAACTTTGTCATTCATTTCAAGTGAAAACACGAGTAAATTGTCCGGCTTGACATCTCTGTGTACAATACCGTTTGTGTGTAAATAAATCAGTCCATTTGCCATATCATTCATAAACTTCATTTTAACTTCTTTTTGTATATCAGTTCCTTTTTTGTTTTTAATCAAGTCATTTAAAGACCCATATATTGCAAACTCGGTTACCATACACATCTTGTTAATAATAAAGATAGCGCCGGAAAAATACACAATATAATCACAACGGAATTCGTCCAGCATTTCAATTTCTTTTGTAAATTCTTTCAGAACATTTTGTTCGGCTGAGAGGTTTTTAAGCTTTTTAATTACGACTAAATTGCCTCTGAAAGTGCCTTTATAAACAACTCCAAAACTGCCTTCACCAACCTTTTTAATGTCAATTAATTCAGTCGAATCAAGTCGTGTTGTGACTGTTGTATTTCCTTTAATTATGATATCATTGTATATCACTTTTTGAACTTTGAGACTCTTTGCTATAACTACCATTTTACTGTCAATTTTAGTGGTATAATTTGGAATAATAAATATTTCAAATTCGCAAGCTTCGTCGTGTTTCAAAACAGTCAATTCAGGATTTATTTTCAGTGTGAATTTTGTCTCTTCTTCTTTTGTTAAAATTTGTATCTTATATGGATTTTTGTTTACATTGCCAATACAAATTAATTGTCGGGTACTTTCGCCAATCGGTAGTTCTGCAATTTCTTCATTAAAATCCAAAACTGTTTTGTTCACCAAAATACCATTTGACAATTTTGTAAACGAAACATTTGATTGTTCCATATTGAATATTGTCGTGTTTAACTCAACTTGTTTTTTGTGGATTGAAGACAAAAGTTGTGACAATGCCATATATGTTCCTATTATAAGGAGTACCATAACTAATAATATTATAATTATAATAATAACTATTAGCCACCAAATCGGTGAGTTTTGACAAAAGGTACCACTCTTATTCGGCTTTTTCCAAAATGAACATTTTGAGCACTTGGAATATTTTGCAGAATTGCAAGAGTCAATTTAAGAATATATTTTGTATTCATTGTTTATTAAAATATAATCATCTTGACAAGAGTAACACTTATTATATAAGGTACACTCTTTACAATTGTTTGAACAAATTCCACATTCATTATTTGTTGAATAATAGCCAGGTTTACAGATAGAACATCCGTTCTGTGTTACTTGAACTGCACATCCATTGATACTCGTCTGTGGTTTACAATTACCTGAAAAGTCTTTAAAATTAGTTGAATTGCAAGTGAAACAATCAGAAGCGCGAAGACATGTATCACAGCTGATGTCACATCTCTTGCAGTCAACTCTGTTTCTATAATACCCATCATTACATTGATAACACCCGCTTCCTGTATTCGAGAACTTCTTACATGAATCTTTTAATTCATCGTTTGACTTACACACATGGTCACTCAAAAACATACCTTCATTACATGACAAACAAATTGATTGACTAAGACATGTCTGACAATTCGAGTTACATCGTTCGCACGTTTTTGTGTTATAAGAATAATAAAAACCATTGATACAACGAGTGCATCCTAATGAGGTTCCAACTGCACAAAAAGTGTTATTGTAGTTTGTTATGCATGTATCGTTTTCTAAAATGCAATTATCAATACATTTAACACATTTTTTATTTACAACAATTTCGCAATTTGTTATGTCTGGAAGACAATTACCATTTTGGTCTTTAAAAGTGTTATTAATAGTATCACAAGTTAGAGATTCACATTTTGAATTTTGTGAAATCAAAAAAGAAGAAAAACATTTTGTACAATGCCCCGATTCACAAATATCACAATTATCTTGTATTAGATCACATTTGTTACAAAATGAAGAATTTGATATATATCCTTTATTGCATTCTACAACACTCTGCGCACTATGTTTAATTTCATTTTCAATACTTTTACACTCGCCTGATATAGAAATTAAACTTGAAAAAATAGGATCACACAATTCACACAAACCATTTCTTTCTATTTGGCATTTTCCATCTAATTTAACACAAACTTTATTTTTAATTATATACCCATCATTACATACAATACACGTGTTACCATCAGAAAATTTACAATTTAAGTGTTTCATACAAATATTGTCATAAAGATCATAAGGAGAATCACATTTTTGACAAATTTCAATTTGGTTGTCATATGTACATTTAGCACAATTTGTATCTTGACATTTTTGACATTTCCTTTTTGTCGAATCAAAAATACCATTTTCACATGTCGCATTTGAGATACAAACAATTTTACTTGTGGTTATAAACCCATTCCTACATAGATAATGTACAAATAAAACACCTTTTGAACTGGAGAACGTAACAAGAATTTGTTTCTGATTTGATAATTGTGAAAATAAGTTGGTGGTAATTTCATTTGGAGTTTGGGAAGTGACATTAATGTGGATATAATCAGTGACTTTATCCAGTATCACAGTTGTTTCACCCAAAGTCACATATAAAGTTTGTGTGTTTAATTCTTTTTTATTTGATTTTTTATTATTAACAACACCTTTTGATAACTCGCTCCTGACAAAAATCATATAAACATCATTAATTGGAACCAAATAATAGTCTTCAATATAGTCATTACAATAACTGTCAATGTACTTGTTGTTGTTATTTGACACCCTAATGATGTGACAAAATAAAGTATCATCCATGTTGCCACCACACCTAATTAATTGTCCTTTCATAATTTTACATTTGGGTGTTATAAAATCATTTTCAATTTGTTCATCTGAATAAATGAAATCAAACTGTTCAATCGAATCAGCAATTGATATTTCATTTAAATTTTGAATTGTACTAATTTTTGTCACAAATAAAGGCATATCAAATATTTCTCGGTTTATTACATTGATAATTCCACCTAAAAAATCCAAAGTCAAAAAGTTGGTTTTGATATAAGGGGATTTCTCCACTGTCAAAACATAGGTAAAAATTTAACTGAAATGATAAAAAATTGGAGACCATCATAGCTAATGTTTTTTCTGAAAATAAAGCAAAATTTAATGGTTTTAAGTAGATGAAATTTGAATGTATTCTTGAGCCATCTCTGAGAACTAATCTGAAGTTTATTAAAGTAAAAGAATTGTTTATATCCAAAAAGGGTTCATTATACAAATGTAGAGATGTCCCATTATTTATATCAATGGAATTTGTGTGTATGATAGCGTTGTTTATCAAATTCACGTTTGAACCAATGGTACAATTTAATGAGTCACATTTGATAGTTGAGTTGTTGTAAATATTTAATGTTGCTCCAGAAGTTGTCACGATTGTGTTTGAAGTAAGCAATGAATCAGTAAATAATGAAAATGAAGAACCTCCATCAATTAAAATGATTTTACATTCAATAGAAGATGTGTTATAAGCTTTTAAATTAGAAATTTGTTGTATATTCAATACATCCATGTTAAAAATAGAAGAATCTTCTAATATCCCTTACTTCTACCAGTAAACGAAAAACTGTGGCCTATTGCAGTGGACATATCATTTAATATAAAAGTCATAAACACAAGCGTTAAATTATTGAATGAAAACCTTGTGCCAGGTTCAAATCTCAAATTGTTATAAGAGGAATTACCCAAAGAGTAAAAAATACCGATTACAGTCAAATTGGAATTTGGTTCACATATCAATGAACTTCTTTCTGTTTTCAAGTTTATGATATCGATATTTACATACTGATTTATTTTCAAAGTAGAATCCAAAAGATACCAAGTATTGGAAGAACAGTTTATAGATTGTTCGTGAACCTCATTGTGGTATTCCATTTCATCAAGACAATACTCCGCAACGACAAATTTTATTACATATATTAAGTATAAAACAGTCACATACATTCAATAAAAAATTGGATTTTATCCTTTAATAATTAATTTTTCAAAATGTCGAAAACATGATTATTATTTTTTTTAATAAATATTCAAAAGTTTTCATCGCTTTTTCAAACCTTTATAATTACAGTTAGCCGAATCAGCCTTCTGCAGATTGTTTTTCAAAAATAACCATAAATAATAACAATTTAAACCATTTTAATAGTATTTTTTCAACTTCAAATAAATATATTTTTATCCACAGGATTTTATTAATACACCTTTTGCAGTATATAATTGGTCTTATTAATATTAAAAAGTAAAAAAAAATAAAACCAAACTAAAAACGAACAATACTCAGTTAACAAACAAATTACATAGACACTGAGCCAGACAACATTCTCGTGTTTTCAATTAATTTTAGTAACGAGGTGATAGCAAAATTGATGGACTTTAGAGATGTAAATGTATGATGACTAACGTTGCATTTACTTAAAAGGTTGGTACACCAACATACATGGCGCCTAATGTGTTAAACATAGAGAAGAAATGCAGGTATTTTTTCTTTTGGCGTTACGTTATTCGAATGTGTAATGTGGAAAGACCCATTCCAAAGGAACAGTTTATGTTTGGATGAATATCGTCAACTTTTTGAAACTAAGAAAAATTGCCAAATTTAAACGACGACACTTGATGTTGTAGATGATATGCCGTACCACATCGTTTATAATTTAATAAAAATTTAAAATTGTTTTTTACTTTAATTAGAAAATATTAACACTTTTAATTATTTTGAATTATAATTATTATAATTTTTTGTTACGACTTATTTACAAAAAATAATTTATATTTTTTTGTAAATTAATATCCAATCAAATAATAGCTGCAGAAGGTTAATTTTTTGCAGAAGTTTGTTTCGTCTTTCTGTAATATATTTTTTAATAAAATATCAAAATTATTCAGAATCTACATTGATCACCACCATCTCTTAAAATAGATTTATTTTTTTCTATTTTGAATTATATTCAAATTAAAATTATAGTAAATAGGAAACTAATATGATATTTAGTCTGGTTCCCGAAATCGAGAAATGCCGAAAAATCACCTCGAGTCAGTGGAAACTAGACTGGCCAACCGATGACCATTATTTTCAATTATGCCGAATTTTTAAAGCAACGTTCCTTTTTGCCGAAACCAAATTGACCACACATATAACCGACTTTTGCTTATACAAATAAATTATTTAAAACTAATTATTATTTGGAAGCGATAAACAAAAGTTAAATAACATTTTATTTATTTCAAATTTTAAAAAATAAACGTTTTTGGGAACACATGATTATTGAATATTATTTTTTAAATTATATTTTTTGATACAGTGCCTAAAATGGGTGGGCGACTTTTAAAGTATTAGGGCGGAAATAGTAAAAATTATGAAGCCCCTGTTTTTTCCTTAATTCGAAAAAAATGTTATTGTTTTTTGTTTTATAAAACACAAAATTTATTATTGTTTTTAATAACACAAAAACTATTAATAACACTTTGTAAAAATCGCAATTCCAATTAATTTAATTAATATTTCAAGTTCCAAAAAAATCAATAGCTTTTCTTCTTTAGCTTTTCTAAAAAGTGAGTAAACGGTTTCTAATCGACAAGACAAAACAAACTTCGCAGTAACGTTTCCTTTTCTCTGTTTTATAATTTGTTTTATTCCAGTTCCAGTTTGGAATAAATGGTTTTTGATTTTAGTGAATTTAATTATAAAAAACTATTCAAGAAAAAATCAATTAAAATTAAGTATTTTCATCATTTCTGGAATCCATATCTTCAAGAATTCATCGTGATTAAACAGCTTAAATTCAATAATGATGTTGCAGTATTTTTCGATTGATTCCATTACTCTGTATCCACATTCAAAACCATTTGGTTGAATTGGAATTTGATTTTTTTAACATCATTTATTTTTTAAGATTTTTTATTTCTCCTATTTTCTTTGAAGATTTTCTAAATTCACCCATTTTTTTAAGATTTTGTTTTTTTTCTCGAAAATCTTTTTGATTGGCTAAATAATTTTTTTCTAAAAATACTTAGATTATGATTTGAATTTTGCTCGGGAAATGGTCCTAATCATTAGGGAGTTTTACTAAAGTCAGTGACTCACTTTAAAGGTCGCCCACTCATTTTAGGCACTGTATTCAAAAAATATAAATCTGTATGAATCAAAAACAATATAAATTTACCAAGAATATATTCTTTAAATGTAATCGTCTTTTTAATAAATGATGTGATTTATAAATTATTTTCAATAATCATTCTCATTAATATTATCTAAATTGAATATAACAATTGGTTTTACAACATTATTAAATACATAATCATTGTGCAGTCAATTAATTACATTATTATAACAGTAAAAATGTATAATGAATATGATTTGTAATTTTTATTGCAAAAAATATAAATTAAAGGCTTGTCAATTTAAAATATAACGTTGTGTTTTTTTTTCGTAAATGTTAACCACTTATATGTTTAAATCGTTGTTCATTTTCAAAATAACGTTTCAATTAAAACATATGCAATGTGATTATAACTAATGAATAATAACCTGCAAATTTCATACTTTTTATAATTTGGGTTAAATTATCATGATTTAAAATTCACACAAATTGTTATAATCATGATTTACAATTTATCTAATGTTACAATTGTTTATTATGTTAAGAACTTCATTCTTTGGAATTACGTGTATTTTAATTTGTGTACAATATATGAAACATTGTTTAACAGTCTTTAAACCAATTTATAAGTTTGTTTAAATATATTATCCCAATTATTGTTTATTTCCTGTTGTTGTTATTGAATATCATGATGTTGGTAATTTGCTTTTGAGAAAAAAAACTCGATTGTCAATTTTACACATAACGAAAAAATGCCAAAAACAACAAGTTGTACATATTTTTCAATAAAATTTATTATTTTATTACCAAAATGAATATTTGTTATATTTTGCTCAAATAATTTTAATACTTCATTCTATTTAATTGTTTTATTATTTATTAAAATAACAAACTTTTGAGCTAAAATATTTGAATTCAAGCATTTTTTTATTTCGTTTGCACGTTTAATCTATATGACTAAATTTATTGTTGTTTACTAGTTTAAGTAAAAAGAAAAGTAACAAGTCAAAATATGCTCAAATGGTTTAAAAATTAAATTTTGGGGTTAATTTTAGTGCGGTTGGCCAGTCTAATAAGAACAGCAAAACTGTTGGTGTTTTAATTAAAACATTTCAAAAAATGAAAAAAAATGTGGTTCTTGTGAATGATTATAGCTAGCGTATTATTACCAATTTGTTATCTAATATTTTGATGGTTTTGATAATAGAAATTTTGTAAATAAACAAGGCGACGCGATTATTGTTAACATTTCGAGAAAGTTACCACAAGGAAAAAATTTTAAATATCTAATCAAGTTATCAAAAACAAATAATACAATTTAAATAACTCCAAATTACAGTAAAACCTTTTAAGAGTGGGAAGGTCTGGTAATTTTATTTTTTCAAGAACGGGCATTTTTAGCCAATCAAACCTAGAAAACCATTCGATAGAGAACTCTATTTTTAGTTTCATTCTAAAAAAATGCCCGTTCTTGATAGAATCCGTTCTTCAGAGGTTTTACTGTAATATAAAAATTTTACAAAAAAGAATAATTTGAGTAAAAATTTCGTAAGTTTTTTAAAGGAAAAGATGTATTCAGTATTTTTAACGGTATAAATCTCTTAATGAATGTTATTGTTGTAAAATAAAGTGTTCAAAAATGGGCGTTTGAAAGTGATATTGAATGTACGTTTTGTAAAAAACCTTTCGTGTTGTCAA